AGTTTTAGTGTGTGTTACATTTTAATGTTGTGTTTTTGTTGTGTCTTTGTTCTCCTCTTACATTTGATGCGTTTCCCTCAGTTTTAGTTTGTAACCCGGATTTGTTTTTATCTCTATCGATTTATGAGTTTCGAACAGCGGTATATTACTGTTGCCTTTATTTACGGACGCCATCACGAGTTGGTTGACCGTTATGGAATAACCGTTTCACAGATGATATCGGATATGTTCCTTATGTCGTAACTACAATACCTTCCCTTTTCACGAATGTGACTTACCGAATTAGACTATTTACCGGATTTGTAATAACATAAGCAACACGACGAGTGCCACATGTGGAGCAGGATCTGCTTACCCTTCCGGAGCACCTGAGATCACCCCCAGTTTTTGGTGTGGTTCGTGTTGCTTAGTCTGTGGTTTTCTATGTTGTGTCATCTGTACTATTATTTGTCTGTTTGTCTTTTTATTTTTGGCCATGGCGTTGTCAGTTTGTTTTCGATCTATGAGTTTGACTGTCCCTCTGGTATCTTTCGTCCCTCTTTCTGAAACAAGCAAGGGCTTCTGAAACGGCGGGAATATCAGTCAGAAAAGATTTTTCGAACGCGATGGATGCACATTCACATTGGTGACGAAAAAATGTTGAAGGAATTAGATGTTCTGGATATGTACGCCAGAGACTACAGACATATTTTGAAAGATTTTTGGAATCCCAGATTAAAAGTTGAACTACAAAGGTTTTTTTTTTCATTTTATTAAAATGTTCGAAATGTTTTAATTTTTTATATTAATTTATAATTGTGAGGAAATTAATTTCACAAGAATTTTTCTGAGACTTTAGATGAATCATTCCACATTTTAATTTGTACCAGAAACCCGAGTCGTGCATTAAATAAAAGGGATTTCAAAATGTTCACGATTAAAATCACATGTTGACTATAGATTTTTTAAACAAAAACTTCAGCTTCATTTAGAGTTACCAGACGCTATCTAATTTTAGCGATCCTTCAGCAACCTCGTTAAAGACAAGATGTCAGCAGTGTATAAGGATCAAGGATTTTGAAATTGGGGGATCTAGCAAGCCAACATTTCGAGTAATACCATGAAAAAGTCTATGCATTTACCATATATGAAACTCCTCAAATGGGACGTGCCCCTGTCCCCCTCCCAAAAAAAAATCGCCTCGGCAAACTGTTTTAAAACGTATACATGTAGCTGTACAATGCCAGGAGAAATATGAATACAATCCAAGTATACATCTCAATAACCAAAAATCAACTTATATCTTCCAGTATTATATACATATAAACTTTATATAAATCATTTGTTTGTATGCATGTTCTGGGAGCGATTTTTTGTTTATTTAGAAATATAGGACAAAGTCGTTGGCGTACGTGGGTTCGATTCCCACCCTAGGCATTAATTTATATCAGCTGGTACAGAGTGGGCAGTTTAGCTTAGTGGCCCTGCACTGACTCTGTTGTTCCTACGTAAAACAATTCAGGTGGCCGCGGCCAGGTCTTGCTATCTTTCATTTTCTTTTCGAAGTCCATATTATCAAAACCATTGTATAATTGTGAAAATTATACCATAGATAGCTATGGTATAATTTTCAGTTATTGAGATTTATACTCTGGTTGCATTCCCATAGGTTCCATAGTACAGCTATAGGTTAATTGTCATTACGTGCAAATAGATTTTTGTGTTGTTTACAGAGTTAATGTTCTCAATGCAGAGAAAAACGTTAGGTATTTTTACATACTTTTGAACAAACAAATATTATCATTTGCTTCAGTACTCAATGCATCATCACCATATAATAAAAAATCGATAGTAATATTGACATTAAAGATATTAATTTCGTTTAACATCAGATATCTAGGTGTTGAAATATTAATACAGTATGGCAAATAGTGTTCGACATTTTCATTGATAGAACCACATGAACAATTGGTATTTTGTATCAAATTTGCTTTGAACAAGTCAGCATACATAGCGCTACATCTGCTACGCAGCTTTATGTGTAAAACAGAATGCAAACGATCTCCTGAGGAACCAAATCTCGGAGATTTATTATTTCTATAATATAGTTTATGCAAATTTAGTTTAAACAAGGAAAATGTAGGAATCTGTCTTATACTTATGTCCAAAGAGTTCCACAATGTAATAGATGATGGAAAATAAGATTATTGATAAGCTGATAAACGATTTACAGGAATAGTAATATTCTGACTGTTACGCAAATTATAATTACTAATATCTGATACAAAATCCGGAACCTAATCGTGTAAATAATCTGGCGCTTGATTATTAATAATTTTATAAAACATAGCTTAGTTTTTAACCTCCCGTTTACGCTTAATTGTCCCCATCCCGTCTATACATAGATTCTGTCCCGGCTAGCGTAACTTGGTAATCCCGTAACTATTCGAGCAACCTCGATTTGGATATGTTCCAACCGATCAGAATTCACTTGCTCACAGTTACCCCAGACTTTAGATGATTGATTGATTGATTGTTGGTTGCTTAACGTCCAGATGCAAATATTTCATGCATGTTCAGGACGAGAACAAATTGACAATGAATACAATAGGTAGGTCTTGTAATTGAGGCCGTCAGGGGTAAGGTCCCGAAATTTAGACTGCCACTGGAAAACGAGGATATATTGGATAGGAACAGAAATTTGGCCTTGCAACAGGTCACCTACAGACCCCTCGAAGAGTTGTTGCAAGGGTTCTTAACATGCAGCGAGCGAGGAACTTTCTCTCTACATCGAATTTACCGTCCCGGACGTGGCTGCGTACTTGATACATCCCGCACGGCAAACGACACCCCACTTCGGCAAGAATTTTACTGTCGGTCGGAAGAAGACCTGTAGTGACCATATTTCTATTCCTCAGTCACTCTTAGGTTGGGACGTCTGATGAATACTCGGGAATAGGCCGAATAAAAGTCATAGAAATTTTTTCCAATTATTCCCTTTTAAGTCTAAATTCTAGTTTTCGTAAAACATTAAGCTGCTTCGAAGTTTTTTCCATCAGTTTATCATGAGTTTTTTTTAATTCGTTGTATGTTAATATCCTATGAACTTTGAGAGATTATGTTAATACAGTTTTGTAAGGTGAAGCAAGGATAGACAGAGGAGTACTTAAATCCTTAAAATTTAAATTATCAATGTTTTTGTTGGGTATTAACATAATCACCACATCTTCTCAAGTTAGTGATTCAGTAGACATCTTGATAAATGGACAAGAAACCCTTGACTCGCCAAAAATGTCATAAGAAGCACGTATACTGACTTTTATGTCCAGATAATGCAGCAGACACTACATTGCATGTTTGAAAACACGTGTCTGATGAAACTGATATATAATTCTTGCTGCAATCAACCGAGATATATATTGGGTTAAATTGTTACCTGTATAATATTGCTTCATATCGTTATATACAAATTATATTTCTATGTTAGATGCATTAACAGGATTTCTGTCTAATCCCTTCGTACCCCTGTATAAAACATGTACTTTAAAACATCACTTGATAATAAAAGCTAAAAGGCATTAGAAATTTTTGCGGGAATTTGAATTCTTCATGTGCAGATTGTCCATATTCTATTGTTATAAAGGTCTATGTTAAAAATCTTTTAAATGAAAATAAAACTATTTGCGTCCTTGAAAGTATGTAAGATACCGGTTGATTAATCCAACCAGCACGGTGTGTGAAATCCAGAAATGCCTTTGTATTAAAAAATATTAATCTGTGGAATAAGGCATAGAAAGTTCAATTTTAAGCGCTTGTCCAAAGAAAATATTAAGCCCACTCTACCAAAGAAATAATGTTTACAAGCCATAGAGTTATCCAAAATTACATTCTACATAGTACAATTGGAATCAATCTAGAGTTGTTGTTAACTGAAAATGAGCTAAGCACTCTTAAACATTGGAACACAGTGAAGGCCTTAAACTAAAACGTTTTCACAGCTTTGGATAAGTGATGATATACAACGTTCATTGGATTAGCTAATGCATTTACATTTTAATCATTCTTATAAAGAAAAAAATATTAGTAACATCCATCTACAAAAGGAAAAAAAATACAAGATTTGGTTTGCACATTTATAGAGTTACTTTACAATTATAAAGCAGTAATTCATTTCGGTTAGGACGAAGAAAGGCAACAGTAGTATACCGCTGTTCGAAACTCATAAATCGATAAAGATAAAAACAAATCCGGGTTACAAACTAAAACTGAGGGAAACGCATCAAATATAAGAGGAGAACAACGACACAACAAAAACACAACATTAAAATGTAACACACACAGAAACGAACATAATATAACAATGGCCATTTTCCTGATTTGGTACAGTACATTTTAAGAACAAAAATGGTGGGTTGAGCCTGGTTTTGTGGCATGCCAAACCTCCCGCTTTTATGGCAACGTCAAACACAACACCAAAACGACAACATCACATGACAGGACCACAATACAAATAAATGGGAGAACATATAGGACAAAGAAACACACGGATAATAGCTAACAAGGCACTAGGCTTAAAATTCAATACGCCAGACGTGCGTCTCGTCCACACAAGACAATCCAGTGACGCCCAGACGAAAAAAGTCCGAAAGCCAAAACAAGCACAAAGCTGAAGAGCACCGAGGACTAGAACTCCCAAAAAGTTGCGACCAACACGGCCAGGGTTTTCTGCCTGGGTCAAGAACATCCTTATTACTTAGAATAATTTATAATTTTGCAAACAGTAAATTTTATAAAATGACTATACAATAGATATACATGATAAAACCGAAGTGGGGACTAACTACAGAATAAAAACGGATACATTACATAAAACAACTTAATTCAACACATAAAAATACACAGCCAAAGCCTCAATGCACAAAGTGACGTCACATTTGAAATTCTAAAAAAAAACACACAAAGTGACGTCACATTTGAATTTGTAAAAATATTTCCCAAAAATAAGAAAGGATTAGGATTGATTCAAGATTAGATTGGTAATACTGACATTACATTTATTAATAACAATGAAAATAACAATACTTATTAATATCAAATTGTGGTAGTAATTAGATAATTAATTGTATTATCTAGCTATGTCGGTGTTTCTTCTGAATCAAACTGTAAACCAAATATATCGTATAAATTTCGTTGAACCAAACTAAAATCTAATAAATGAAGGGGGTGATTAATTATCTTTACCATAACACACGAATATAACAGAAAAGACGTTAAGACATTTGACAAAATCCGACGAGAATAACAAATATAACATCAAAATGAAATACATGAATTTGGGATAGAAAAGTACCGTGACACGTCTTATAGCAATACGGTTTCACACTCAGCAAAACAGTCACAATCGGGAATAAGTCACGTTCGGTAATTAAAAGATCAGACGACGTAATGACAAACCACAATCTAACACGTGGTAAAAATGTCCTTAGTTAGTTTGGACAAAGTCACATCGTATGGATCAACCAATTCGTGATGGTGTCCGTAAAATTTACGGAGTGTCATTTTTAATCTGTCCTGCTCATAACTTTGTTGGAGCAGTCTCTGCGTAAGGAGCACACTCCTGTATATGAAGTCCGTATAGTGTGAACAAGCACGAGAATAACGTAGCAATTGAGATATGTAAACACCATACGAAGGAGCAGAGGGTATGTTACTACTGAGAAATGGGAAATTGATAATTGGGAAGTTGAAATCGTCCCGTTTATAAAGGATAGGGTTGATTTTTCTGTGAATACATGGTGACTATTTTTCCTCCAAGTTGTTTGTTGTTTTCTTGTTGAGAATGATTTTTCTGATCGTTTCCTGAATGGAATAACCCTCGAAGAAACACAAAGACATAATACTCTGAACATCGAATAGCAAACTACTAAGTATGGCAACAATGAGCACAAGGTTAAACTTTGCAATTGTTTTTAAACTAGATGCGTCATTCCTAGATACATCGTGTATTTTTCGTGTTTTATTTTCTAAACTACGTGGTGAGCCTACAGTCAATGTGGAAGTAATTGTTAAACTCGCAGGATTTCTAGTTGATTTGTCACTGGCTCCGAACAACAAATTAGTAGAAATGTCAGTCTTATCTGTTACAGATTCTATCGATGTATCTGTAGATTGTTCAGTTGAAATAGATGTTTTTGTTGGTATCAATTTAGATAATGAATCTTGTTCTGTTGATATAAATAAAGGCAACAGTAGTATACCAGTGTTCAAAGGTCATAAATCGATTGAGAGAAAACACAAATCCGGGTTACAAACTAAAACCGAGGGAAAAATATCAACTATAAGAGGAAAACAAACGAGCAACAGGAACACTGAAGTGAACAAAAAAGAAAAAAAACCCAAACATCTCGAACTTTATACAATTATTTTCACAATACTCGTCTAAAGAATTTTGATAACAATGGTGTTATGGGAAGGCAATTTTATAATTATTTTGATTACAAACGATAAGACATAACAGATAATCCAACCGAAACCATAACAGAAACAACAAAAATGAATATATGAATGTTATTAAATGTTGCCTTTGAATCTTGTTTTGTTGATGCGGTTGTCGACACTGGATCATATGTTGCAACTGAAGACTTTTCCGTCAAAAAAGATATGTTTGTTGTTATCGGTTTAGTTGTAGAATAATGATTTAATGATACAGTTGCTATATCCTTGGACGGTTCTATTTCGACAGCAGATAGAGTTGTTATCAATTCACTTGTTCGAACAGTAAACTGTTCACTGGTTTTTTCTACGAATTGAATATAACTTAATGATTACTTATAGCTGATAATGATAATATATGTGATTTGAACTTGAAATTACTTGGTTTAGTTTTGTTGGGTACGATATCAAAATGTTTAAAATGCGATTGATGAAGCATTCAGCCTATAAGTTTAACTGTAGTAAAAAAAACAAATATAAGACAAGTGTTAACACAATATAAACTGAAAAAAAGTGTTTTTCCTGAATTTTATGTTTTTATTCAACATCAACAACTAAAATGGTCGCTATGAGGTTACTATATATATTTTATCAACTTGTTACACAAAATTTTATTACTAAAGCTGTATGCATATAAGGAATAAGGAACTTTACCTGCATAATTATCATAGTTACCTTGTGTCTTTGTCCTTGTAAAAAACTCTATCTCACTATTAAGTTGTGCAATGATTCTCCGCATAATTTAAATCAAGCAACCTGGGTTGTCTTAATTTATAGCAGCAAAGCATTTCAGTAGGGTTAGAATTGCTCAAACAAATTGTATTCTATCTTTGATGAAGCACGTTTATGATGTTAATTATAAAATAAAAAACACTCAACTCATTATGTCATATTCGAATTTACAATGGTAGCGGAATCGAATTTTATGACCAATCATGTAAGGTAATGATACCGGTGTTTATAATAAACGCACTGACTCTTATGTTTCTATCATTATTTTTTGAAGGGTAAATAGTTATATATAAATATTTACATCAATACTCTCTCTCTCTATTTCTACGTGACTATGATAGTCGTTTAGCATCTGTCGTAAGACGAAGATTTACGCTTTAGTTCGTAAGGAGCATTTGTTATTTGCTTTTCTTATCATATATGAATTATATTTATGTAATAAATATTCTTCTACAATACTCCTGCCACTGTCTTTTGTAATTTACCCACACGAGAAATTTTAAAATTTTACTATTGAATATGTCAGTATCTAAAGTGAGTAAATAACCTGAACAATGGAGACATTTTAAATAACACTTTATAAATTAAGTGCGTCTCAGGCGCCTCTCTAAACAAATCTTATTCAGGAACTCTCAAACCCAAGCATCTGAATGCAATCAACAAAATATTTAAGAAAAGTATGTTTTGAATCATGTCAGTAACAAGGCAAAATATACTGAGATAATGATACCCTCGGAAACTGCCATAACACTAGTGGTGGTATAAACCAAGTGCTAGATAATAATTTTTGAGAAATTTTTACTTTAGTTTATGGACGTTACCAATAACCCTTAACAAGAAATACAAAGATTTTGAACTGTTAAATTGGAATAAATGAAAATAAGACTTGGTTGTGCCTCACCTGATGCTTTTGGGATATTTCTTTGTCTTTTACATATGGTTCTATATTAAACTTTGTGCCACAGTTACGAGAATCTTGCATTTTCAGATAAGAACCTTAATAATTAATTTTGATTCTGCCCAAACATTCTAATTATATAGAGTACCTAAAGATAAAATCATAAAATTTTCTTTCAGATTCACAAATTGATGGAGTTTGAAATGGCATGTCTTGAGTGTGCTGTCGCATCCGTCCTGTAGTCATGAACGAATTAAAAAACATTTACGAGATGCCAAACTATGCTTAAGTAACTGCTAAAACAAAACGTTTATTAGTCTGTTTGAATATGGACAAGGACACAATAAAGCGATCTCTCACTACTATATGATATACTGAACTAATAAAAGGATATTCACCAGTAATCAACTATGCTAATAAAACTTACTGTTGGTGGGCACAGAGTAAATATATTTTATTCCAGTATTAATGTTCGATCCGAAACTGTATACCTGTAAATTAAAAAAGGCAATTTAATGTTTTACAATTAACTGGTTGTTTCTATCTAGTGCAAATGGCCGTGACCTTTGACCTGCTGACTCCAATATCCATTGACGTCTGTCCTAATCTACATCTTTTATCTGCATAGGTTCCATTCAAATCAAGCAAGGGAAAGTAAAGTTACCATCGGGAAATAATTTTTCAAAAACTACTATATCAGTCTTAGTAATATTGACCCAAACGTTTGAAATATTGACCAAAACATCAATAAGCCTTTCTTATTCTATATAATCAACAGGGGATACTCAAGTTACCATCTAGAAACAATTTGTTTCCAACGGAAGACAGACGCACAAAACGGTTCCTACGCTATACTCGTTATCCAGTTATCTAAATGTGCAAATTTAACGTACATTTTTATACATATGAGTTATACATTGATATAACAAAGGTTATGAATGTTGAAATGATGAAATGATTTTTCTTTCTTTTTACAGAAAGATTTTACTTATTTCAGTAAAACTCTACACCGACTTTTTAAAGCGATCAAAAATAAATGTACCCCACCCAAATTCATCTGCATTGACTGTAAAAGAACGATATTATATGTCACATTATCTCTAAGTTGTGTATTTGTGGAAAATTAAAGGTTCAGCATACAAGAAAGTGTTTTTAAGTTTGATAATGAATAGTGTTTCAATTGTCGTAACCACAATTCCGCCCTCTTTTCCTCCAATGTCACCTTATACTTAAATGAGCAACTCGACGGTTCCACAAGTGGGATCTGCTTACCCTTCTGGTTTTTGTAGGGTTCTTATAAAAGGTTGCTTATTGTTTAGTTTTCTATGTTGTCTTTTCTGTACTGTTTGTCTCTTGATCGTTGGTCGTATTTTGCCATGACATTGTCAGTTGTTTTCGACTAATGAGTTTGAATATCACTTTGGTATCTTTCGCCTCACTTTTCTACTTCTTTATGTATGCCTTTATGTATGAGGGAGATTAGTGGAAAGTGTGTTGACAGTGGTTCAGTTGGATTTGCAAAGCACTATAATATCAGTGTGCCAATTGTGTGGAATAAATAATCTTTTTATGCATATATAAGATATCGATTTCAATCTAGTGTTGCTTATTTGTCAGTTGGTCAATTTCAGTGGAAGTTAAATGTCATTCTCCTTACTTTTTTGCAAGTATTAACATGAACAGGAAAACAAACCATAAACGGGATATTCACCCAGCACCAAGCTACACCTGCCCGTGAAGTTACTGTTAACAGCAAGTGTTATTTTGACATTGAAAAATTAAAAAAATTAATGTATGTACCATTGCAATTATTAAGATTTTTTTTTAATTCATGAAAGTGGAACTGATCAAGAAACTCACACTTTGTGAACTTCAGACTTATATGAAAATAAGAAGATGTGGTTTACACGTTGATGAAATGCAAAAATAGAACATTTCAATTTTAACATGAGAACTATTCACACAGCAAATGTTTTTACAAACCTTCACTATTACCGGCTTTGTCAATGGTCCTTCGGCATGCATTATCGCAACATAAGCATCATTATGCCACAAAGTTCCATCAACATTGACCGGACTATCTCCAGTTTGAAATTTTCTGCTACCATCGTTAATGCTACTCGTTATAATTGAAGTCCCGTCTTTATTGAATATTTCTGAAATGATAAAACGATACATTATAAAATTCTATACCTCAAGAAAATTCCATGTTTAAACGAAATCGTACGGAATAGTCAGTTGGTTTTTTCTTTTGAATTATTTCAAATTAATCAGGTCGTTTGATGTTTCTGTTGATTTTATTCACATTCGGTCATTTATGTAAAAGCTCTCTATACGGTATGAGTTTTGCCCAATGTATAAAATGGCCGGACGGTGCCCTCTAGTTGACAAAATACTCGTCCTATATTTTCTGCTGGATTTTGTCTCATAGGCACATACCATATCTCCTTATTTCTATGTCTGCTACGCATTCTTCATAAGTTCATAATGGTGACAATTACCATTGTTTATTAAAAAAGACTTGTGTACCAATATCGGTACTGAGAATCTCATATATGATTCAGATAATACATGTTATCTCTTAAGTACAAGTTAACCAAATTATGTAATTGTATTAAACCTGCAGTTACAACTCTCCAACCTGATATATAATTCTTGCAGCAATCAACCAAAATATATATTGGTTAAGTTGTTACCTGTATAATATTGCTTCATATCTTTATATACAAATGATATTTCTATGTTATATGCACCAACAGGAATTTCTGTCCAATCCCTTCGTACCCCTGTATAAAATACATATACCTTTAATATATCACTTCATAATAATAGCGAAAGGGCATTGGAAAGTTTTGTGGGAATCGGAAATCTCCATGTGCACATTGTCCATTTTCTTATGCTATACAGGTCTAAGTTAAACATCTCTTAAATGAAAAAAAAAAAAAACTATCTGCGTCCTTCAAAGGAGGAAGGATGACGGTGGATGCATTCAACCAGCACAGTGTTTGAAATCAAGAAAGGCCTTTAAAAAAATATTAAACTAAGGGAAAACAAGGAAAGTTCAATTTTATACCGCTGGATGTTCATATGATACATATAACATTTAGGTAATTTAGTCTAATTGTCAAAATTATGTCACGATTTGAATTTGAAATGCAACATGAAACGAAAACTATGAGAGTATCGTTCAAAGAGTCGATACATAATATTTTTAATTATGTGTATCTTGTACAAAAAATGAATAAATGATTAATGAAGCTTAAAATCAAGAAGTTCCTATGCTATGAATAATAAATAACGCTGTTAGATTTATGCAAAAATTGTCATCAACGGTAAAAAAAAACAAAGCACTGAACTTAAAACTACTAAGTTTCCATTAAACATGGTCAGGCTTAGGGTAAATGTAAGTGTTATCATTAATCAGATTTAATCGATTACAATTTTTCAAGTAAATACTATCTTCACTAATCACCCAAAAATCTGAATACATCTAATTTAACTTAATAAATTACTTTCAAAATACCTCGTAATCTTTTTTGATTACGTTCTCATTAAAATGGAAAAACTCTTAAATTGTGTCTATGGTCAATATACATACCATGTCTTAAATGAACATTTGTATTATTCATATTTAATAAATATATAATTTGTTAAAATAGTTTTGGTTACTTTGAGCATGTTAAGTTAATATGATGAATAGATATACATGTAATTTGATACCAACAACGTGTTATTTTAATGATTTGTTTAACCTTCATTCATTAACATCATTCAAATGGGTTATTTCTTAAACTGATTGTAATCAGATGTAATCAGATGTAATCATGATTACTTGCCAGTGTAATCATTAATTTAATTAGTTCATTTGAGAAATGGTGTAATCATTAATTTAATTCAATCGTACAATTGACAAAGTAATTGCTATTTAATTATTTACTTTGAAAGAAATCAGACCCATCTCTCAACTTGATTCTGTGATGACCTATATATTTGTTTCTCGTACGGTAGTTTTATCGTTTAATTTTGTATCTTATTCCTATAGTCATTTGGAAACCATTAATTAACTTCATATAAATAATACTTCAATTAGTCGAAGCTGTTAACAAATCTAATATGTGCCTTACCCTGATCATATAGTACAAACAATCTGTATATTGAACATTTTTATATGTTTGAAAAGACATTACAAATAATCAGCAAGTATTAATATTTACATTGAGCCACATCATCAGTAAAATTTCCCTCTCGGATAATACATGTACTATTATCACCATTACACACACCACATCCATCACGTACACCAGAATTAAGTGTATTGGCACAGTCAAATCTCTACAACAGTAACAAATTAATGTCAAAGAAGTGTATCCTTCTTATTTACATTTACAGTGTAATTTTATGATACATATGAAGAACAGCTTGAGGTCTTTGATTGCTCTTTTATCAATTTTGCAATGCACAGACCATACCGATAACGTTCTAACTTTATCAAGTTAAGTTGGCTTTAAATAATTTGGCTATTATGCTTCGCTTTGGGAGGTGTATTTCCTAAATATCCCCCTCCCCCTTGAGCGTATGGCTAACGTTTTCTTCGAACTCAATAAATAAAGAGGATTTGTTGTCTTAAACCTTCTGTCTTTAATTTGACATTACCAAGAAGGAGTTCATATGGTTGGTACATATAATAAATGTCGTAAATTATCCATTAGATTGTCTCTGTCATACAGATGCACACATAATCCTCTACACGTTCTTGACATAACACCGACCTTTCGTTCTCAAAGACTTCTAGAGGATGTATCTAGAAGAGAAGGAACTGTTTATCGTCTATTTCTCCAGATGTTGCTTAGTATTCAATGCATTAATGTTTGTTAAAATTGTCATTCTTTGAAATGAAGGAATTGTTTTTTTAATTTTGTGACCACTGGTTTTTTTTTTTAACTTCAAACTCTTTTCATATAAAAAAATTAAAGCCCTAAAGAATATATATTACCTTACAATAACCTTCTAAGCAAGCGTAATAAAAACCTGGGCGGCGGGAATATTTATTTGCATCAGCTGTATGTAAGGTTCCAGGACACGGTGTACCGTTTTCTATTAATCCAAATCTTGTAAAATCAGGTCTGGTATACCCTGGAGTTGATTCACAAAAAACTTCACATACACCGTGGTCTGAATAGAATTGTTTATTTTTTTAATGAAAAAAAAAATGTGAGGTAAACACCAATACATTAGCACCACCCAGAGAAAAAAACCCAAATACAAACGACTTCTGGTTAAACAACCACGGTTTTCGTACTCATTATAAAAATATGAAATTAAAGAGATGTGGTATGATTGACAATAAGACAACTATCCACATAAGTTCAAACGAAGTTGATGTTAGCCATTATAGGCAACCGTACGGCCTTCAACTATGAGAAAACCCATACCGTATAGTCGACTATGAAAAGCCTCGACATGAAAAAAATGAAACTATTTCAACTGAGAAAACTAATGGCCTGATTTATAACAAAACAATTTACAAAAAACAAATATGACAGACATGAACCAACGATAACCACTGAACTTCAGGTTGCTTACTTGTGACAGGCACATAAAAATGTGACGGGTTAAAACATGTTTGAAGACGCCAACGCTCCCCTACCTGGGACAATGGTGTAACAGTACAACATAAAAACAAACTGTAAAAAACAGTTGAAAAGGGCTTAACTTATCAGATCGATAGATAGCAGAAAAAACATCTAACAGAAACACAGACCGGACGCGGCAGGGTATTCATGCATGCCTGAAAACTAAAAAGATACAAAGTAAAGATCTGAGAGTACTCGCAGTAACTGAAGGCTACTTCAAAACCAATAACAACCAATAAAAATATCATGTATCTAAGACTAAAATATCAATCGGTTCACATCAAACATCCAATGGATTTAGAGCGAAGACATCGTTAACAGTAGGAGAAAAGCATGACCTTGTACAATGCAAAAAAAAAATAGATATTACCAGATTGTAATACCGTTAATGTGCAGTGTGTATAACAATAATATTAAGTATGGTTTTAATTTACTGATAACATTAGTTTTTTTTAGTAAGGGTAGTGAAATCATAACACATCTGCATAGTTTTTTTTCAAACCTTAAAAGAACCTTAAATACATTCTGTATAGGTTAACTATATTGGAAACCACGTATCAAAGACACACACAGCTACTAAAGCAGGCTAAGCTTAAAATGTATGCTCCGTGTTGAAGGCCGTACCTTGACCTATAATGGTTTACTTTTATAAATTGTAACTTGGATGGAGAGTTGTCTCATTGGCACTCATACCACATCTTCCTATATCTATATAATTTTTTATTTGGTTACCACTAATTCTGAAAAAAACTGATGGATTGTTAAGTTTGGTTAGACAGATAAATATTGAGGATTTCATTTTCTTAACTACTAGTATCAGAAACAGTTTAGAGTATCAGTTACCTGAATAATTATTGGATAGCTTATTTCAGTGTACTGAAACCTGTACCATGCGTTATCAGTTGTGAGGCAGTTAACACAATTAAGCATCCATTAAAGAATTTACTTTGAACGGAAATTTGGAATTTGTTTTTATATCTGATATTTCCTAAAGTTATGGATATATTGTTGATATACAATTCGTATACAGTTAATTAACGTGATGTCAAATGTTTTTCTACATACTAAATGATGAGTAAATAGTTCCTGAAGCTGTATATTCTGTTCCATTAATGATGTTGTTATCAATTAGTCTTTGACATGTCTCTGATGCACGTTGTATTATAAGATTAGAATCAATGGTACTGTCCCCAAGGCACGGCTGAAAAATATTATGAAAAGGATATTTGATGTTGAAGACAAAATGTGGAGCGTAGTTTTTCTATTTTGATAAAGATCATTATTACCATTGCACTGCTGCGATACCAATTAAATCCTATAAAGTGTTTTATTTAAACAATACTTCTTCTTAGGAACAGAAAAATCGTATTCAGAGTAATACTAATAACATCACATTGTTTCATATTTGTTAATCAGTTTATTCAGAAACATATAGATCAGATGCAGAACAAATGATGTGCTAAATGTACACTTGTGAAGCACATGAAATCACCAACGGGCTTTGGTAGGGTTTCTGTTGATCAGACTTTTTTTCGTTTTTTCCATGGTTTTGTCGGTTTTTGACTTATGAACTTCTATTTTCTCTTTGGTACCTTCTGCATCCCTTTGTTAGTGATAGAAAGTATGTAAATATTACCCTGAAATTATATGATAAGCCCATCACCATGCAAATGTTATAGCTTGATAATGAAAATTGTCAAAACAAATATATGAAATAAGAAAAAAGTAATAACTACCGTTAGACTGCAACCTTTCGCCTCGTATTCATTTCCATCGCAAATTGCAGTGTTCTTTGGACTACAAATATTAAAGAAAAAGATTTACTTATTTATCATTATAGTGTAAATTATACTGATTGAGATAATATTTGGCTAAGCCATGCGTAATATTTAGGTTCATGTTCAAATTCAGCAATCCTGTCCGTCTGGGACTTTTGAAATCATACCAAATCTCTTGAGTTTTATTTGTAAAAGTTCCTTAAAGACTAAGTTAACACAAATTTGAGAATTCAGTGCTGAGTTAAAGTAATGTACAATATCAGATGAATTCCTCCACATCTTTCCTTTATTGACGATTTAGTGTCCAAGTTTCAGTCATAGATGCCCGTCTATCATCATAAAAAGTTTAGTTAAACATGTCTAGAAATACCGATGAATAACAATGAAAATCGTCGTATAACCGTTTTCAAAGATGTGAATTGTCAAAATACAGTAAGTTAGTAAGTAAGTAAGAAAGTAAGTAACAAAATTTATTATTTTTTCTAGTGACCTGAGAAATATCAATGTGCCATAAAGGTATGTTTCAGAATCAGCAAATTATATCTACCCCATATGTCATTTTCAAAATCACAAAATATATATACAATTTCTTTTACACATATATTCATCACTTTCTTAATAAGGAATTACCAAAACAAACCTACGTTGGGTTATTACAAATTCTTCGTCTGTAAATCATTCCTCGTCCACATGTCCGGGAACAAGTTGTCCAGGTTTCCCAATCTGACCACCCTCCTGCACGTACTTCAGGATTAGTTAATTGAGCTTCAGACCAATGAACACACGCACCGCCAAAGCAGATCTAAGTAAAGATTCAATTGTTTGAATATAACAAAATAACCTTATAAACCTTTTGTGGTAAATTTCGTGTAGATGACAAATACAAGCTGAAAAAAGAACTACCATTCCAGAAATACAAACGATATAGCAACGAATGGTTACTATTATTTCAAATGTTGGATTTTGTTCTCGTGTAAAATTAAACATTTCCTTTATAAATCAATTAGTCAGATTGGAATTATGATATTGGTCTTAAGTCGACAATTATTTTCTTTAGGGCCTGTTTTTATTCATCTGTATAATCTTCTGCCATGTTTATCCTTTCATTTTATTGAAAGAACACTTAACATGTCGCCCTCATGACCTGGTAGCACAATACGGATAGTCTGTGCCAGAGAAGACGCCGGATATTTCCATTGCCTTAGCCATAATTCCGTCCTTTTGTCATTGAATAATTCCAAGTTTGGTGACTATGTTGACCACATCTATCCCATCGAACTCGAAACTAGAGGCTGTAAAGAGTCTGTGTCGCTAACCTAGGTATATGTACATATTCAGCAAAAAAGTGAAATAACAAAAATACCGAAGAGAAATTCAAAACGGAAAGTCCTTTATAAAATGGCAAAATCAAAAGCTCAACCACATCTAATGAATGGAAAACGACTGTCATATTCCTGCCTTGGTACAGGCATTTACTTATGTAAAAATAGTGGATTAAACCTGGTTTTATTGCTAGCTAAACCTCTCACTTGTATGCCAGTAGCATAGAATTACATTATATTGAAAACAACGTGTGAGCAAAACAAATAGACATAATAACTTGTTAAAACTTTTAAACTCGCTGCATTTATTTGCACCTGTTCTAAGTCAGGAGCCTGTTGTCCAGTAGTTGTCGTTTGTTGATGTGGTTCATGAGTGTTTATCGTTTTTTATATAGATTAGACCGTTGGTTTTCCTGTTTGAATTGTTTTACACTAGTCATTTTGGAGCCCTTTATAGTTTGCTGTTCGGTGTGAGCCAAGGCTCCGTGTTGAAGGCCGTACTTTGACTACAATTGTTTATATTTTACACATTGTGACTTGGATGGAGAGTTGTCTCATTGGCACTCATACAACATCTTCTTATTTCTATATAACAGGTAAAAACGTCAACAATTGGGGTACAACAGTCAACATTATAATATAATCTTAATCAAAGGACATTTTCATTGTAGACAAGAATAGAAGAGGGGCGAAAGATACCAAAGGGACATTCAAATTCATAAGTCGAAAATAAACTGACAACCCCATGGCTAAAATAGAAATAGACAAACAGACAAACAATAATACACAAAACACAACATAGAAAACTAAAGACGTGTTGCTCATAATAGTACAAACCTGGTAAGAAGTCTAATTCGTTTGGTCACATTCGGGAAAAGGGGACGGGATTGTAGTTACGACATTAGGAACATATCCTATATCATCTGTGAAACGGATATTCCGTAACGGTCAACCAACTCGTGATGGCTTGCGTAAAATTTACGAAGGGATGATTTGAACTTCACCACTTGGATTTCATAGCAGGAAAATATGTTGATCTTATATTGCTGACCGTTTGTCTGTTTAGTTTCTCTCTATCTTCTTTAGTTTTGTACTCAAAACACAAAAGGGGGTAACAATCTCTCATTTCAGGCAATCACTCCAATAAAGAGCGGCAGTGTACTAACTATATTGGCAAAATTTGACTTGTTTGTAGATCTTGCCTTGCTGATCATTTTTGTTATTTAAAGTTTTTATTTATCTATAATAATTTTTATCATATAAGACAAAACACAAACAACATTGGTGATGAAGAGCTGCGTCATAAGCGCATAATACGCCCGTCGCCAACTGGACAGTTTTCAACTTATAAAATTCCATAACTCCGCAATGTCATATAGAAATTTATAAACAAAGTAAAATGGAGCTTATTTCAATATATATAAACAAGTCACCCAAGTTTTCTTGAAAACTGCAAAAAGCCTTTTTGAGTTATTGTCCGAAATACTGGGAAATTACCCTTTTTTATGAATAAAGTCCAAATACTCTAAAACGTAAAATCAGAATTTTAAAAATCAAAAGGGAACTTATGTCAATATATATTAACAATTCACCAAAGTTTCATGAAAATTGTTCAAATGATTTTTGAGTTGTAGTCAGAAATCTGGAAAATCCCGTATTTTTTATGAATAAAATCCTATAACTCGGAAACGTAAAATCTAAAATGTGTAAAAATCAATAGATATAAACGATTCACCAAACTTTCATGAAAATTGGTGAAAGCATTTTTGAGTTATTGTCCGACATGTTGACAGACGGACAACGGTATACCATAATTGTTACGTAAATGGGCGTTTAAAAATTGTCATTAAAGGGCAATGACTCCAATAAGGGGTCGTCGGACAATTTTCTTCATATGTTTTAATTGTAGATCTTGTCTTGCTGATCATTTTCGCTGATTTAAGTTTCTATCTATGTATTATGATTTTTAATATATAAGGCAAAAACGGAAAAAAATGGTAAGAATCGTCATCAAAGGGCAATAACTCTAATAAGTAGTCGACTGACGATTTTTGTCGTTGTAGATTTTGTCTTTGTGATAATTTTTACAATTTCAACTTTCTTTGTATCTATTAAAATTTTCAAGATAATATGCAAAAATGAAAAAAACAAATGGTAAAATTTGACATTTAAGGGCAATAACTCCTATAAGAAGTCCCCTAACAGTTTTGACGTAATAAGACAATTGGAAGAGCTAAACATACTGAACATTTCTGCTCTTTTTCTCTATTTATTACGGTTTTCAAAATATAAGACAAAACTTGCTTTTTATTTTGTTCTTTTTTTAGCCATGTCGGCCATCTTGGTTGGCAGGAGGAGTCATCGGACATATTTTCAAAACTAGATACCCTAATGATGATTGTGGCCAAATGTGGATAAATTTAGTCCAGTAGTTTCAGAGGAGAAGATTTTTGTATAAGTTAACAGGGAAGACGACGACGGACGACGACGGACAACGGCCGACGGACGACAGACGACGAACGACGGACGCCAAGTTATGAGAAAAGCTCACTTCGCTCTTTTGGCCAGTTGAGCTAAAAAGGATACAAAAAAGAGGCGAAAGATACCAGAGGGACATTCAAACTCATTTAAACTGACAACGCCATAGCTAAAGTACACAAAGCACAACATAGAAAACTAAAGACTGAGCAACACGAACCCCGTCAAAAACTGCTCCGGAAAGTAAGCAGATCCTGCTCCACATGTTGCACCCGGACAACATAGATAAAATGTGTATCACATCTAGAAATTGACAATGTGAATCGGTTGAGAAGAATACTTTACGACAAAAGAGAGAATTAAACATTCTCTTCTCATCGAATATGACCTTCTGAATTTATCACCGGGGATGTACTTACATGAGCCTTACGACGGTTGTCACATGTGGAGCAGGAACTAAGTACACCTCCAGAGCACTTGAGATTATCTCCAGTTTGAGTGGATTTTGTGCTGGTCAGTCTTTAGTTCTCTATGTTGTGTTTTGTAGACATATGTTGTACTGTTGTTGTGTTATCGTTTTTCACGACATTGTCAGTTTCTTTTCGACTTTCGAGTTTGACTATCCATTTGGTATCTTCCGACTTTCTTTTCTAGTTAATGGCATTAATCTAATGCGATTTATCTGTTCAGTATAACTAACCCTAGGCAACACAAAGAGTGGAACCATTGAAAAAAGAGAATGTTTACCCTTCTGGAGTTTACTCAGTTTTTGGTTTGGATCTTTTTGTTTTGTTTTCTGTGTTCTGTTTGTCGGACATTAATTTTGTTCAATACAATTATTATCATTACTATTACTAAACAAGAATGTGTCCATAGTACACGGATGCCCCACTAGCACTATCATATGCTATGTTCAGTGGACCGTGAAATTGGGGTCAAAACTCTAATTTGGCATTAAAATTAAAAAGATCATATCATAGGGAACATGTGTACTAAGTTTCAAGTTGCTTGGAACTTCATCAAAAACTACCTTGACCAAAAATTTTAACCTGAAGCGGAACAGACGGACGAACGGACGGATGAATGGACAGACGAACGGACGCACAGATCGAAAAACATAATGCCCCTAGGTGGGACATAAAAAAACTACGGTTGCCTATTGATCATTTTCTTATTTTTCTTTCAGGAATCGAAAGCAAGGAGAACTTAATCCGATAAG